CACTGATTTTACACGAGAAACCATAATGCGTTTTATATTTCCTATGCAAAAATTACATTCACGGTCTATTCTAGACATAATATAAATTAGTTATTAAAATAATTTAATCGCCATTTTCATTAACCTTTATCTAAAGTTGATTTAGTGTTAAAGATCACAATGTTTACTAAATTAAAGTTCCTCTTTAATAAAAAGTGTCTTACATAGTTCTTCATGGAGTTAAATAAACCTTAGCTGTAAAAATAATTATTACTCTTAAATAAGTATTCAAGATGTCTTCAACNATTTGTGGCAACACGAGTAAAAAGACCGTCACCTGGAGTAAAAATTTTTGATTTTTTTTAAATGCCCATTATTTTGAAAATATGCCACATAGATTTTTTTTTATATTTTTCTGATAACCAGCATAACTTGCCTCAACACCCAGTTCCGGCTTGACGTTACATTACGGGACACCCTGTATACTATAATCTTAATACTATATAAGGTTAATACTATACTTATACGCAAGCGGTCTTATTCTGGCTAACGGGTGTATTCTGAATTTGAGAACATATTTTAAGAATAAAGCTCGATTCACACATATCAGTGAAGCCACAGTTCCGTCACAGTACCGGCACAGTGCGAAATATTCTTTCATACAGTTTCTATCGTCACTGACACTGACACTTGTCAGATGTATGGGATGCGTGCCGGTGCTGTGACGGAACTGTAGCTTCACTGATATGTGTGAATCGAGCTTTACTCCCCAAGTTTCGTTTTCGATTTTAGATTATAGTAAGAGACCCAGGGAAAAAACATAATATAGATTTAACTCGCATTTTGTAAGGGATACACACGCGTGATTGTCTTTCCGTAATAGATTGAAATTCACGGACGAAGCCGCGTGCAAAAGCTCATATCCTACCTCTTTAGAATATTAACTAGTGTTTTTTGGTATTGCACAAATTGCTAATAGTCCGGTTAACTCCTCGTACAAAGCTAAATATACTTACTTGAATAATGAATGGGAATAGTCCAGCACCGGGCGCGGTTTTCGAACCAGAGCGTTCCTCGGATCTCTAGTCGGCCAGTCCGAAACCTTCCTCGTTCAGCTATTGTTGCTTCAAAATATTTAAAAAGTTGTAACTTTATTACATTTCTATTTTTTTTTATTAAAAACACTATAAAATCCATGTAAAATGTTGCAAGTAAAAATTCGGTAAGTGAAATCAGTATTTATTTCCTGGCTGCTATTAACTCTCTACTAGCACGGCTTGCATGATTTTATCACAATATTAAATTCTCACGTACGATGATTTAGCCAATACCCAATTCAAAAGTTCTGGCTGACATATGTTTATTACATAGTTTACATCATATTAATCATATTAATTTTTATCGGTTCTGCATGTCAANCGCAAGCTCAATAAGTAGCTGTGAGTTATCACCATCGATTATCTAATCTATTTCACTTACCGTTAACGATTTGTTTTAATTTCTTAAACAACCAATACGCAATAACTTATCATAATGACGGTACAAATTATATTTTATATTATGAAAGCTTTAATACTTTTGAACCCTTTTAATAAGTGGCATCTTTATTAATGATGGGCATTATTAATTGTTTTTTAGAGACAAAACGGGTGACATTGTTTCAATGAGACTATGTACGAATAATTTCACTGCTATTTTTGATTATTCATGAAAGTAATTTAATTTACACATACTACAAATAAAAGAACTATCTTGTAAACTATAACATTTACATTCAATAATCTTATTCCTTAATACTTAATCCTTATTTATTTTTCACCTTTGGAACATAATTACGAATAAATAAAGCATTTCAAGTTTTCTTTGACGTATGTTGAGCCGTGTTCAGAAGCAAACAGTTGCAACGCTTATTACAGTAATATAGGGACGCCGGCACTCGATCTCTGTCGCGAAATTGGTCAATTTTAAACTCGTTTTCCATCTGCTAAAATAAGTTGTGAGATTGCAGTTATAATACTTCATTTTTATGCAATTTTTTTTCTTGGACAAATAAATATAGTATTGTGAACTTTGTATGTTCTGCCTTTGCGTTGCTGTAAGTTAATATTCAATTTACATGTTGATTTTAGTTAAATAGAGAAACATTTGCGATAACTTTAAAAAGTTGGGAGGTCAATTATTTAATAAGTAAAAGATTACATATAATTTATGATTGCTATCTTTTCATTCCAGACAAAACGTTAGATAATTTAGCAAAGCAGCAACATAATTTGATAACAAATAAACATAAATTTCTTATCACGTGACGTGTCACCCATCAAAACAATTGAAATCAGATATCCAGACTATAACAGACTTTACGTCACAAATCTGAAGTTTTGGCGCCAATGAATTCATGAATGGCGCGAAACACAATACATTTTACTACGTTGATAAAATTAATTACCGCAGATTATTTTAATATTTAAAATACGCAAGCGGTCCTATCCTGGTTAAACCTATTCTGAATAAGAAAACTTGTTTTAAACCTAATGCACCACGTTTTGATTTCTTTGAAAGACACAAAAATAGCTTGAAACCCTGGGAGAAACAAATAATATATTTCAGCTCGCATTTTGAATGTTACATACGCGTATCTTCTGTGATAGATTAAAATTCACATGCAAAGACACGTGCAAAAGCTCGTTATTTTATAATTACTTTTTTTTAAACTAACTATTAGCAAATGTTTATACTGCACAAATTACTAATAGTCCCGTTAACCCCTCGTACAAAGCTAAATATACCTACTTGAGTTATGAATGGGTCCAGCCGCACCGCGAACCAGCGTTCCTCGGATCTCGAGTCGGCCAGTCCGACACCTTCCTCGTTCGGCTATTGTCGCATATTTTTTTAAATACATAACTAAAATACCTTCAGTTATATATTTTTTTATTTAAAAATGCTATTAAATCCATGTGAAATGTTGCAAGTAAAAATTCGGTAAGTGAAATCAGTATTTATTTCCTGACTGCTATTAAGGCCCAGAACAGACGGTGAAACGCAACTGCAACGAAACTGCAACTGCTAGTTACTTTTGAGTTGCTTCTAAGTTTCTGCCATAGCGTCCGTTGAGAGACCACACATGACGCGACCAGTTTGAAACTTTCAGTTTCAGTTTCATTCATCAGAATCATCACAAAATTGCAGTTTCGTTGCAGTTGCGTTTCACCGTCTGTTCTGAGCCTTACTCTCTCCTAGTACGGCTTGCGTGATTTTATCACAATATTAAATTCACACGTACGATAATTTAGCCAATACCCAATTCAAAAGTTCTGGCTGGCATACATAGTTTATATGATACTAGCTGACCCGGCGAACTTCGTACCGCCTTAGCGTAGAGATTTTCTTTATATTTTTTTCCGTAAAAACCTTGTACAGAGTAGGTATTAGAAAACTACAAAAAAAAAATCAGCCAAATCGGTCAAGCCGTTTTCATGTTATGTCGTGACAACGGAAAACGGGTTTCATTTTTATATATATAGATTAGTCATATTAATTTTCATCGGTTCTGCATGTCAAAGACAAGTGTTAACCATTGGTAAACAACAATCACCAGGCTAGACAAACCATCTGAAAAAAATAGGTTTGCATATTTATATTTTTGCTTATATTTTAGTATATCCGCAAGCCAACTGAGTCAACAGTTTTCAATGACTAACTGTAAGAAGTTGCGTGTTTGGATGAGTCAAGCTGAAATCAATGGAGATTTTGAAAATCTTCAGTACTAAACAGGTCAATATTGAGAATTTATTTGGAGCATAATAATGATTGCGTCCATTTGATTAAAATTAAAATATATTATTTTTATAATATTGATGAATTGATTATACAACGGATAAACATTCCTACTTAAATAAATCATAACTATCCATTAACTTTGTACATTTCTTATCCGTTTGCATTTCACTTGATGATAAAAGATGATATTCAAAATCATTATTTCATAACATTTACACGAATTTGCAAAATTTACTGCAAGACCAACAAAATTAATTCGACGACTTTGTTGGTACTTCTATTTATAGAAGTGTTTTTAATCTGTAAAGTTCACAAATGTAGTAAAAAAATGTAAACATAACATCTTACTACTCCGCATCTAATGTTCTACTCTATGGACTCGAGCCAAAATTTTATGATCCCTATCACAGTATAATATTTTTAAGTAACCCTGTTTAGTTCTGCTTTATTAAAATCAAACTGAATATAAAAAAATACCCAAATCTCTACAATTATTTTCAAAGCCACGCTCTACATATTTTTGCTTCATGACTACATCATACACTAGACTCGTAAAGTTGTTTACATAATGCAGTGTATTGGTGATATCCATATCATTTTAATTGTATGACGCGGATAATTTCAGCGAGCAGCGGATGTAGTGTTAACGAACAGGATAAAATGTGCGTACAAGATAACATCTGGGTACAAATTACACGTCATTTCGTTCATTCATTAATAAGTGTGACGTTTCAAAAACATTTCGCGACACACGAAAAGATATAAAAACTATTGATCTGTTTATTTTGCAACACTTTAACTCTCTTTGCTACTGTATGTGGTATTTTTATCCAGTTGTTGATTGTATTTTATTTCCCAGTCCATATAAAATGCATAGTAAGCCATTTTAGATGATAATTATTAATAAAGTTGAAAATTATTTCTTAGAAGCTGCGGTTCCAGGGGAAGTAACTTTTTAAAGATTTTGAAACGTCATACTTCGCTCGTAACCTACGTAATCAATAGCGATCTTAATCATCGGTAATGACGAAATCCATTCTTGAAGTCACTACTCTGTATGAGGTTTGTCGGGTTTTCCCAAGCGGATGTTTAATTGTAACCGTGTGCAGGTTGCACGTTTTTGGCGGCGGAAAATTACAAAAAGCGTGAAATTCTCAACCCTTATGTGGTTAGGGTACAGGTATATAGAGAGAGTTGCATGGGTGGGCCCGGCGCCGCCCCACGCCTCCATTGGCCGCGTGGCGCCGGGCCGGGAGAGCCCCAGCGGCGATTCGTCATCCGTTCCCCCACTGCGAGCTCGGAACCACGTGCAGTGTACACCTGCCTTTATCTTACGCGGCGACACACCAATTTATTTAGTCTCTCACCCGACACCACGCGTGCGACATCGGATTTTGGGGGATGCAGTAGTTTTCGATCGCTATGGATACGATCGCAATCCCTTCGTGTGCGTTGCATAGGCAGTCGACCACCGTGATAGTTAGGATGAAGGACGTGGAAGTGCCGAGCTGGTGCCAGCCCGAGGAGTGCCCGGCCCAGGGCGTCCCGAGGGTGCAGCACAGACCCTCAGGATGTGAACAATGCAGTAGGACTAGACTAATTAGCCAATACAGTGACTGTGATAGTGGTATAGTGGAAAAATGCAGACCATACAAATCAAGCGCGGCAAGAAGTAGTAAGCATTTTCTTTTTATTATTATAATAATATTAATANTAATATTTGAATTATTTCAGTAAACAGTATTTTTTTTTTGCAATAATCTTTAATTTTCTGAAAATTTTTTGACATCATATTTAGTTCCAGTAGATTGTTTTGACTCCCCTTTCTGAGAAATACTTTAATTAAGAGCAAAAAATTACTGAAGGAAAAAAGTTTACAGCAATCTGAACCAATAACTTAATTTTATCACTTAACTTATAGTTTATTCATCATATCATACGTATCGATATGTGAAAAATGTATCAATATTAATCGATTCCGATTACGAGCCGTACGTAACAGTGGTAATCGTCTGAATAATATATTCAAGTCAACGGTAAATGATTACATCGCGAAGGAAACTGATTAGCAATTGTCTTGCTTTCGTCCCTATGACGCATTACAAATATTGTTATAAGAAATTCTTGCAACGCGCCATAAATTGTCAGTTTCTGGAACTATAGTCATGAATTTAGATCAGTTTGATTTGCGCATAACTGAGAAATGGCTCTATGAAGTCAATGTAATTGTTCCTTGTTCCTTTAATTTTTTATTCTTAAGTTTTATCATGAGAACTTTTACAGTTTCACGTTTCAGCTAATAGATTTAGACTATCATTTTATCATTATAGCATTTTATCTCCAAAATTAATTCAATAACTTAGAAAATTTAAATTACTGTTAACTTTTTAGTGTAACTTGGTTTTGAATGTGAATAGTTCGGAATTTCAACGCAATGCAAATTATAACTGTTTATTACTGTAGAGTCGCAATAAACCAGCTGTTTCTCAAATAAAACCTGTGACATATTTGTCACTTTCAATTTGAAAAATAACGCGTTTGTTTTCTTGTAAAAAGGTAATAACAAAGTTATGTAATAATCGATTATTTATCAAAAGTCATTAGGACAAAGGAGGTCATAACGATACATCATAAAAATATACACGCAAATATCGTTCTTATTAGTTCTTTGATAAGGTGAAATGCACTCTCTTTTCAGATAGAAGCTTTTCAGCACGCCTTTATACCCGCTTAATACCAATAAAAAAATATTAATTACCTACAATAAATTGCCGTTTAAGTTACGGGGAACTATAACATAAGAGAAACAAACATAACGCTGGTATTTTTAAGCAAAGATTTATCTCTCGATTTATCGTTCTACATCTATATATATAAAAGAAAGTCGTGTTAGTTACTCCACTTATAACTCAAGAACGGCTGAACCGATTTAGCTGAAAATTGTCAGGGAGGTAGTTTAGAGCCAGGAGAAGGACATAGGATACTTTTTATCCCGTTCGACAGCATTCCCGTGTGACTTGACATGAAACGTCAGTCACTATAAAACGTGGTATTAGAAAAAAGAATCAGACTTGGAATAACAAACCACGCGGGCGAAGCCGCGGGCGGAAAGCTAGTCATTAAATAAATTCAATTAGAGCAATATCAATATGTCATCTAAAACAAAAGCTCTTCGTAATCATATCTCGGTGAAGTCCCCTAGAAATATCACTGTCACATTATTTATTTACAAACACTATATCCGGCTGAACTATATTCGCCCCGTCGGCACAATATCAAGACAACTATAAAGCTTACAATTTCATTACGCGCAAAAAGCAGCCTCAGCCAGCGATCTCGTCTTTACAATGTTAAACACGAACATCAGAGCACTTAACTAGGTTTAAACCGCAATTAAAGTAACGTACTGTTACCGGATTGACATATCTGACTAAATGTTTCTATCCTTTAACAGTCGCACAGTTACATGACGGGACAGGATTTCGTAAGTGGCACCATCGCGCGCACTATATTAGGGCCGGGAAATTATTTACGACGGGAAAGAAATTGGTAAAAGTAAAATATACAAGACGATTACATTATAGAGCCACCTTATCATGAGACTATATTTTAATGATTTCTCAATATAGTTTTTTACAAAACTAAATTAAATGAGAAAACCCAAATTACTCTTTAAATTATTTTCCATACATGAAAATGTGTGATTAAATCTGTAGTAAATAATTTAAAAGTAATATTTAGCTTGTGCTACACAAATTAACCAAACATTATTAAGCAATAATATTTAGTAATGTTTTTCCCGGAAGCATATAATTGAGTGTGAATACGATTGATACGACTTGTTGAGCACTATTAATAACTCACTAACACAATAATATAACTCTTTAATCCGAATTCTTTTATATTAATGGATCATTGATGACCAAAATAATTAATAAGATGAACATATTTACTTTTGTTCTATTAAAATCTAAAAGTTAAGTCAAATTATATTTTTTAGATATTTATAGACTCATTCAAAATTTATAAATATAACATTTACAGAATTATAAAGTTATATTTTACAAAAATTGCAACACTCATTTAAAAAATTCTAGCCATAATAATAGGTAGAGCGCTAAGATGGGTTACAGTTTAGCTGACAATTACACGCGTTATCTTATTTTTCTAAAAAAAAGTCACTTACGAGAAAGCTATGTCATGTCATTATATCAAAGTACACGCACTGGGCTCGATTTCATGAACTATGTCCGCATCATTAAGGGCTGCGGGCCGCCGCCTCATTAGCAACATTTTCACATAAAACGATGTTCATTTACGCGGAGTAAGGCTGCCGCGTAATTATAAACAGTTATTTCAGTGAGATGGGCGACTCATAATTGCAGTGTTTAGCTGTCACCCTTTTAGTGAGAGACGTCGATTCAAGATTATTTCGCAATCACCTTCAAAGGAATCGACGAGAAAATCACGCAATTCGGATAAGAACAAATTGCGCTGCTCTAAATAATGCGAAATTCCATTCAATATTACCGAAAAGTAATTGCGTTCATCACTTGTTACCTTATTAAATTTGATTCGAGAAAATTTTGCGCTTGTTTCGTTAATTCGGTGGCCCGATTGCTATTACCATTTAGAGCGATTTTCAGTTAATGAACTGTGTATCACCGCCGCGAAACGCGCCGCGTCGCGCGTCCCCGCGTCATAATCGCTCTTATTATGCGCAGTCAAATTTTACGAGCGCATCGGTTGTTAGCCGCCACTAACAAAATGATGAACCGACTTAAATTAAACCACTATTATGGCTTTACATGACGCTTTTTCTATGCGACGTCACGCGAACTAGTTACCGTTAAAGACCTACCCCACCCTGTGGGACCCAACTCTGCACTCCTTCGCGAGTCATCGAATCTCGCAAATTGTTACGCATCTCGCGAAAGATCGTTATCGCCGAAATAATGATCACATCCACATTTGACGCGTTTATAATCTGAATTTACATAATGATTGCGCTGGCCTGGCGCCCTGTGTCGAACTGAACGAGAACTTTTCTCGGTTTTCGAAACGAAATTCTAGTTAGCGGACGCGCGATTTCTTTTTAAAAAGGTTAACAAGATGGTCTCGTTTCGGTCGTTTTTCGTGCCTCCTTTTGTGAACGGGCGAGCTGTTAAAAAATAAACGAACTCTTTGTTTCTCGGGTAGTCGGACCGACCTCCGACGCGGTCCCTACTTTTTTATGCCCTCTTATAACCTGTGTATTACCTACGTGTAGGTATCTACGTTTTTTATGGTCGTTCGGTCAGTTCTTCAATGGGCTAAGGAATTCAATCGAGTCTCTCCATTGTTGTTATAGATACAATTAGCTCTTGAAATGTCGTTTCTAATTAATGATACCAGTCACTCTTTGAATTTAAATTCGTGTTTATTTTATTAACGCTTGTTATATTTTTCTTTACATCGATCGTGATTATCAGAGTAATGACGCGTTAAGCATAGCGGTTGTATGTTTTTATCTTGATGAAGTTGTTTCCCAACGAACTTTCAGATTTGAGTTTCTCAAGAAAATATTTGTCTCAGTGACTCTACGCCTTTTACGATCTGACCTGTTGTTTTTTTTTTGGTTGAACTTTTGACGGCGGTCTCGCGGTTGCTTTTGACCGGCTCACTAATAAAATGTTATGATCGTGTGTTTAACGCGTGTGTGCCGGTGTCGGACCTTCTTTCTGACATGATCGTTATTGCCTCAGTCCACCTTTGCGGTCGGCTTTTGTGCCACGGGTCCTCTAATAAACTGGCGCTTTTATTCAATCTTCGACTTTGTTCTCATAGTTGTAAGCGCGCGGCTGGCGGGTAGCCGTGTATCTTATGTTACAACATTATTATCGTGTCAATTATAGTGCAATATAAAGTCTATAACTAAATCACTCCTAGTTAACGCTGCGGCGTCTCAGAGCTTTCGGCGCTTGTGTATGCAAATCGGTGCGTTTTCGAGTGTGCGAGAGAGTAAATATTGGTGTCTCGCTCTACCTAAAAAGGGGGGCGTGTGGTAATCTGGATTCGCAGGCCCTAGTTAAATAATAAGCGGCGAAGCGCCCTATAACTATAATTTGTTTTATTTGGCCGCCGCTCGCCGCGGGCCGACGAAATCGCCGCAAACTGCCTAACGAGTGGCGAAAAAACTCACGCATACATTTGAGCTAATCGTGTGAGTGTATTGATGAATTTGACTTTGAGTTCTTTCCGTTCCCACAGGCTATTATGTACAGTCAGCTATAACATTTTTTAATTTAAATCTTAGAGGAGAGTATTGTACGAAATAAAGGAAAATTGGTACCTGAAATTATAGTATATCTTCATGTAAATTTTATGCAAATATTAGTTGACATCTGTAAAGGTTTAAAACCCATATGTTTGTAAATACAGCTCATCTACAAAATAGTTAAGATTACGACGCATTAGTCACTCTTGTGTAGACACAACACTGATTCACACTTGACTCAAAACACTGAATTTTTATAAAAGGCGTGAGTAACCGACTTCATTACTGTGGAGCGAGATGTAGGTAACCTCTCGATGTAATTTTTTTTTCATTGCTATTATTCCGGTGTTGATATTGCGTAAAAACAAACACCGCTGTCATCTTAATAAATGACTGGTCTTGAACTCTACAAAATAAAATAAAACAAAATTGCTCACTATGAGATCGCTTTATTCATGACACAAATAAAATAAAATACGCTACTGAAGTCGTAAAAATAGCCGTCACATATCCGATCAAAACGAGAAAAGTATCGATTGAAAGTGAACTCGATTATCTGGCGATCGTGAGGCAACAGTAATCGGAAGAATGTCCGGCCGTCTACCGTTAAGGCGTGCATCAGTGATTCATATACGTCCACCGGACAATTAGCAAAGGCTGACCACCTCTCGAGTATTTATTCATCGGATGTCCAGCGATTACCATAATCGATAGCATCGCGCGTGCCGCATAAAGAGCGGGGCTGCTTTCGTCAGTTTTTCATTAAATGGCTAGCTTTTAACCGCGGTTTTGTGTGCATCATTAATAGGTAGATTTTTTGTCCAGAATAAAAAAAGCTCTAAAAATAAACAGAGTACCTATTTTTGCATGTTTCATACGCAGAAAACAAATTTTCTTATTGCTTTACAAGGCGAGAAAAAATATGTAGGATTTTTCTTTCATTGCAAGGAAGAGCTCGGTTACTTTCCGGAGATGTTCTTTTTATTTAAATACAAATTCACCTCAAGTTAACCGTCAAAATTATTTATTTAACAATCCGTACACAGATTTACATAATAATATAGAGTCAAAAATACATGAATTTATCGGTGAGCTTATCTCTACATAAAGACTTAACACGCTAAGAATGGATATAAAAGCGCTAATATAAAGCGAATGTGGTCTTCTCCTACAAGCCAATCTGATTGAAAATATTTAACATTATCCATCTCAAGATAACCCTACTGGCAAATCTTATTCTACTCCAGGATAGCACTATCATAACTGACGAATTTATGATAGTGCTATCCTGGATTTTTTATTTTTCGATAGGATACGCCAATGTTTGCATATTGGTGCCATATAGTTTTCCCAAGGACCCAACTAACGCTCCTCTTCCTCCCCAGGATACGTCAACGTCTGTGCAGCGGTGTGCCTGTTACTTCTCATCGGCGGACTTTCCCCTAGATCGTGCGCGGCGCCGTACCGGAGTCGCGCCATGGACAGACAGAGGCGGGCGGCGGACGAGGAGAACTACTTATGGCGCAACCCTTGCAGCTATAATGATTCTAATGTAAGTATTAGCAATCTATTGTCGTAAGAAATAAGGTTCTATTTTGGAGAGGTCATGCCATGGACCGATAGAGGCGGGCGAGATTCTTATGTGACTCGTAGAGTTCTATACGGCCACTGAAACGCGATGCAGTATCAATGTTGTCACAAAATCTTAGTAACTTATTAGCAATCTATTGTCGTAGGAAATAAGGTTGGCTTTAAAAGGGCCAAGTTAGTTAGACTGTGTCACAGCTGTGCCACTGCAAAAGCATCGGCAGCGGCTCTAGTCTAGAATCGCTGAAAACGCGGTGCAGTATCAGTACCGAATCTTTTGGCGTAGGAAATAAGGTTGTCATTTTTTAAAGTACCAAGTTAGACTGTACCACAGCTGTGCGACTCTAGCCTAGAATCGCCGAAACTGTCGTGGAATCTAAAAAAACTAGCTAGCTTAAGGTCTAAAGTTTAAACATTATGTCTTTGCTAAATGTAGAATTACGTATTTGTGTCTTGAAAGAACCTATTGCTAGTGAGAGCAGAATTTGCTTTGTTTTATTGTTACTAGAAGCCCCGAATTTGTCTTTTACTTTTTAGTTTTTACGACATTCGATGGTAAAAAAGCCTCTCTGAAATACTAACTTCTAGAAATACTCAACTGTATAATATGACTAACGCGTTACTTTCTTCTTTCAGTCCAAATCATCATACTTGCCAAGTAACGCGAAATTCGTCGCACAGCAAGCCAACTACGTGTACCAACAGACGGCGAGCTACAAAGACGAATTCGTAAGTTTTTTTTTTACTTAATTTTTTTCAGAAAGAAAAAAAATTGCACCTTAGGCATGCGAAAGAAAAAACAAAAGAACATCAAAAAATCTCATTACACGAGGAAGAAAAAACTAAAGAACATCAAAAATTCTAATTTCAAAAAAGTTTTTCGCTTTCGTTTGTCAATGGCTCGCGATTGGCGCGCGTTCGCGACGTCGCATGCGCTCGCGATCACTATGCGCGGCGCGTGGCGCTAAATAAACGGACGGAGTGGACGAACAGTATCAATACTAATAATAAACGTGTGGAAGCCGCGAGAATTTTTGTTCGATGGGTGTGAAATTTTAATCTTTTTTCTATATAGCGCAATATATCGCTAAATCAATTAGGTTTTAAAGATTGTAGAGGCAATTTCTTAGAGCTATGAATAAAGTTCTTGTAATTTATGTAATATTTTTATCAAGCAAATACATCTAGAAATAAAAAAACTGAAACGGAAAGTTTAGTAGCACGCGCAATGACGCGCTAATACTGAAATTCAGTAAGAAATCAATCAACTTTAAGCTAAATTCAGCAAAGAAATTTATAAACTTAAAGCTCATGACACAAAAAACATAACTCTCCTTCTGGAGCAGTCGGGTAATAACAAATATAAAGTGTAAAATATTGATAGACGATTCTCTGACCCATTAAAGGTCCGCGCGGCGCGTCCTCCGCAGATTGCATCGGCGGGCGCCGCGCGGCGCGTCCGGCTACGTTTCCTCCCTTTTAATTATTATTTTGCGATGCATTATTGTTACCATCGATGTAATAAAAGGTAGAGGAGCCCTCAAATTCTTTTTTGTTAACATTTTTCTAACGCTTCATAATACTTCTTCTTTTTTCATAATACTTCTTCTTTTTTGCCTTATCCCGCTAAGCGGGGTCAGTTTTCCTAATCAGGCTCCACCATTTAATTCTATCTTGAACGTCTTGTTCGTGGAGTCCCAATACTTTCATGTTCTTTTGGACATTCGTTATCCAGGCTTCTGTTTTCAAAATAATGCGTGACGTTTAACAGAAAAAAATGCACGCAAGAACTTGTAACTCAATCTAGCTAGACATGTCAACCTACATTCAGGTATTCGTAAAACATTCACGAATTGTAAGTAACAAACGCATAGCATGTTAATACAACCATTCATATGAACGTATCTATCATTCCAATCCTAGAAATATTATATTTCCGAATCGGAAGTAAGGTGGGCCGATCAACGAGCAATAATGCGATGTCGAAGTCGCGTCTCGAATCATTTATGGATGACCGTCTACTATCGCATTCAGTTGTACAAATGTGTGAATGTATTTGGATTGTACCTATGTCGTGTTTGGTAGAGACTGTGATTAATGCGTCAAGTGGGTGCGAGTCAATGGATGCGGAACAATTGATAGTGTAGTGCGGGTGCGTTCAGGTATCGATGTAAGCTCGCGTATGTGGTGGCATTGTAATAGTCGACAGTCGTAACGACGGCGACGACGTCCTGTCCGCCACCACCGCCTCGTAAAACGACATTATCGACTCACAGTAGCCGGAACGAGTCAGTACAGGACGGTGTGCGTACGCGTCGAATACTGATTACGAATTAGTATTGCGCGACACACCTGCCCGATGATTTTTTTTTCTGTCTCTCCCCTTAATGTCGGTCATTCGAAGCTAATGTATCATACTTATTGCGATTTAGACCGAACCTTGTGTCGATGAACCGCCATTGTAAGTGATGACCAAGGCCGTTGATGCTTTTGTTTTCGATGTTTCGCTAACGCGTTATGTATTTTAGTCAATACCATCGTCTTCGGTCGACCTCATTTCTTTAATTTTACGCGGCTCTTGAACTAAAAAATATTTTGTATTTAAACACGCAACAGGAAAATATACGACTGGCACAGTCGAAGCATAAATAAAAGACAATATCCAAATTACTCGACTGCGCTTGTGTCGTCAACCCATTCCGTACGTATAATAACTGACCGCGTTACTAAGAACGCAATAATAAATTCAACGAACTCTACCGGTATGTGACTCGCCGCCGGCAACCGTGTGAATGTCTCTCACCTCTCATATTTTTCGGCTGCTGACATATTACCGCATCTTAACACGGTCCCTAATCTGTTGACATGATGTGAAATAAAAAATGAAACCGCGACATGTAACGCGATCGGTCGCGCGATCGGCCGCGCATCCTCTGCAACTCTTATCTTCGCTATGACGCCATAAACATTGAATTACTCAGTACATACGATATGTACATACTTAGCACAATATCGTGGACTGGGGCGACAGGCCGTCTGCGGCGATGGGTGCGTACGTGTGTCGTAAATATAACATTTGTGCGCTAGTGTGAGTACGTTTATTTGATAAGCTTCCGATGCAAGCTAGGCATTCGGATGTCATCAAATTTCTTACCACCCACAAACCAAATGTTTCACACAGCAGTCATTAAAGCTACAATTATTTGTTTTTTCTAAAACTTCTTCATCTTTTCTTCTCACAATAATTTTGTAATTCTAAAACACAAGGTAAAACTAAATACGTATTAATTTTAATTCGGTATTCGTAAATCTCAATGTAGAGTTGATAGCATTCATGAACCGTATTCACTGTAATTTTTGCGAATTATACAAAATCAAAGGAAAAGAATAACATTTTGCAATAGTGGGAGACAAACAGTTTACTTGAATCTGAAACTAGAAAGAAAAGCATATATCTTTTAAATAGGTTTTAGATTATTTGATGATTTTAAATAGAGTTCAATACCTAATGTGGATATCAATGTACCAGGAAACCATAGTATGAACAGAAGTCTCGGACGGAATGTAGGTATTCCTCTGTTATGGCGTGATGGGCCGGACGCGCACCTGTGTGTTTATTCGGCTCTAGCTGACCAACGAAGCACATTGCTTCTGTCCGTGATTCTGCTTACTATGACATTTTTCAACTCTTATTATTCATACTTCAAATTCCGTACGACTTTTTCATAATATAACGAAATAACTGCAAATCAAATAACATAATTACATTGTATTTTATCGTTTCCCTTATCGCACATTTTGGCGCGAGCTATCGAATCAGAATGTCACAATATACACGAAACGATTTATCAAACATTTGAAATCTATCGTTTTTGGAATATTGCCACGATCATTCGTGATAAAATTGCACAATACAAATTTCGGGAGATTTAATGTAAAATGCCTGTTTTAATTAGTGGTATTGTTGTCCAACAATTTACTATGGGGACACGAAAATTTTGCCCTGTTAACGTTGCATCTGCCCGGTTCGGCGCGTCCGTCACAAGTTTTTGAACTTTAGCATGGCCGGTTAGGGTTTATTTTGATTTGTGCGTCTTGTCACGTCTGATGATGCCTGGACGCAGTGTCAAATTTTAATGTTGAAACGGTTGTGCATTACGTGACAAGTCTACAACAGCGGACCTTCGGTTTCGATCTCATCTTTCATGACCTTGTATGATCCATTAAGTATCGCAATGTAAATTAAAAAGTGTTCAATCTAATTGCAAAGAAATATTGAAAAAATATGGTATTAACGGGCAAAAATTAATCTATTCAACTTCATATTCCATGTCAGTCTTAATGAATAGAATTACAAGGTGCTCAATACGTATGATTATCTAGTTGAGAGTTTATCTCCGCTGAGACACACGTTCCACCGTAACTTGCTCTATTAATAGAGTCGCCGGCTAACGGTGCGCAGCTCAACTTATATCGGTCGGTTATCTATAATCTAAGTGCCCTAACGATTGTCAATTCGTGGAACAAATTGCGACGGTAGCTAGTACGTGTAGGCGCTTCAATCTTATAATGTTATTTTGTTGATATTTTTAAACAATATGACAGGATGTGTACTAAGCACATTAATAATTTATATTTTGACTTAGCTTATTCTTGTGAAGTTAATAAAACCCACATACAGTGCAAACAAACTTAGAAAAAATCTAAAATATAGGTACTCACATGGTAAAAACTGGAGCTTGCCGCGCTCTACATTGTCACAAAACGTAAAAACACATAAACAAGCTGATCAAGCTACAAGCCCTCTACTACCATAGTCTAGGGTCCCGCTCCTTTTATATAAAGACTGGCCAGGATACCTCACTTGTCCACCTTCCGTTCGTCCCGCTGGTTCCATGGAAGTCAATCAACGCTGGGCCTTCTATTTTCACAGTTCAAAGAATTAACGGCACAGTGAGGCTGATTCATGCTGGCACACGCGCCCGTATTTACTACGCTTGTTTGATCTGCGTCCTTACGTTTGGTTTTCCAAATAATTTGCGGATTCTTACGTTTGCGATTGCCTTTCTCGCTGCCTTCGACGCTAGGTCAACCGTTCAGGATGCTTCGCAATCGTGGTTACAATGGTCTTAATGCATTTGATGTAATTAGAATAATGTACATATTATATCCAATGTTATTTTCAATCGATTAGGGTGCATTACTGAACATTAATGTATATTTACTTGAGCCTGTTTTATTTGATTAACATCTTTATCTGTTTGGTTTATAAGGATACTTAAAACTGAAACTTATCTAGATTTTCTTTTGTTGCAGACAAAGTTGCACAGTTTCGATACGTTCGAAAACTTGCTGAAGGAATGGAAGGACGACTGGCTGAGGAATTTCTCGTGGTTCCGTGATGAGGTTCTGCCGCACAAGAAGGTTCTCTTCCAAACGGTTCCTGATGAAGACATAGCATCATTAATGGTAAGTAATCATTTTTTCCATTGTGAAATTTAGATTTGGTGGTCCTGGGTTGATTCCCTGGATACAAGTTTAATTGTTTTCAGTCTTTTTTGGTTTAATGTACAATTTCATTGTCGATAAGGAAGACGATTCCTTGCTTTATAGATCACATTCAACTGTGAGTCCTTTTATATAAGCCATAACATAGTGACATAATAACTCTAGCAACGGATTTGCCACTACCCACGCGTTACGAAGAAAAGTTATTTGTAGGAAGTGCCCTGTATTTTCTTGTTCATGTCAAGTTAATCCTAGCTAAACTTCTGGATAACAGAATAAGAAGCGTATCCTATAAGTGAATTATATCGTGAGAATGCCGAAACGAAATCAGTTTCCTAAACGAGAACAATGATCGGGACCGGTGAATCTGCTGACGTCAAAAACGTGCATCCGTATGAGTTTTTCGTTCGGTTCCAAAGAATCGCCTTCGTCGGTGGCACTCATTGTTGTGCCGACGCTTACGTGAGAACACAAACGTTTCGCAATATGGACGTTTTAATCAATATGTCCGATTGCCAATTTTGGATAGATAACGAATTTTGGACGTGGCGAAATTTAAACAAACGATTTCCGATTCGAGGAAATGTTAATTAAACGCCGATATGGTATTATGACAGACATTTTCATTTCTATTAAACATGCAGTCAAATAACTCAACATGGTTGGCGCATCATTAGTTGCTCTACAATACTTTAAATAGATAAAAAATCCTAGCACTGATATCGATAAGTTAATCATCAATGAAACCTAACTAGTGGCGATTGAGTTAGTCCTAGAGAAATGTTGATGTGTCTTCAATTCCCCAGTTTAACTGTCTTTGCAAGTTTTTAGTTCCTAACAGTCTCTCTTTTTGTCCACAGAGCAAAATTGATGAAGTTCTCCCCTCGATGTACAAGGGCCTGAAGATGATCGTGGCCAGCCTGTACAAGCTCAGTCAGAGCCTGGAGCACGACGGCATCAGCTCGGACGAGGAGCTCGCCAACAACATCTCTCAGACCATGAAAGATGTTAGAGCCGTGCTCTGCTACTTCTACGTAAGTATTTTTACGAACTACCTATTTGTCTAACATTGAGATCTAAGGCTATTGCCAATTGTGGCGTAATACTTTTTGTATTAGTAATTCTTGTAAAAAATTGGCCAACGACTTTTCAAATAATGACTCATAACACTTTCATAAAACGTGAACGTGAACAAAAACATGTGACAGAAACTAATTTCAATGTTATTTCTTTTCAGGATCTAATGAAAGCTCGTAATCTGGAAATCCTACCAGTGTACGACTCAGAGATCCCGGTCATCGACAAGAAGAACAAATTGGAAATCGGTCTCTACATTTACCGGGACACGCTTAACTACCTGGAGTACCTGGGACAGGTGTTCAAGAAGATGTCCGAAACTGACCTCCCACCAACCGCTTGATGCAATTGCCTTGGTTGTGCTAGCTAGATTAAAAACCGCTGATGAGGAACTTCGTTTACACTACCCATTAATATAGCTGCTAGTTTTATTTTAACAACGACAAGAAAAGTATTTTGGAGCGCATTGAGGCTGCTCAGATCGCCATAGAAAAGACTTTTCGCATTGTACTTAACTTAATTTTAATATAATTGTCAATACTCCATCCGTTGTAGATTGTTACTGTATTGAGTCAACTGCGGATTATTCTAAGTTTTGGTCTCATCGTTCCTCAGTTTCAACGTCGGTTGGATGAACTTCTTGTAGTAAAATTGAATATTTGGCTGTTTTTTAGCGAATTAATGTAGTAGAAAAACGTCATTGCCATTACATTGCCATTTTTGGTCTAGAACGGATAAGTTCCTTTTAATGTAAATAGTGACGAATTTAAAAGCTAATTAATTTATTGTCTGCTGATTAACATTCAAAATTTCCCGATTATCCTAGTCAAGGTCTTAACTTATTTATTTCTCATGTAACTCCACTTAGTTTCAATTTCTTTATTATTGATTATTTAATTTAGATTATAGTATTAGTCTTCATTCCACCAGATGATAAATGTTGTATGAGTATGCTGTGTAAATTATTTGAGCGATGTATGATACTTTGATGTGACATTGTGGATTGAGAGGATATTTATTTGTATACAGATGTAGTGATATTATGACGTATCATGGATTCATGACGCAACTGCTACTGTATATTACAATAGTACTCTATTCCTACTTTCTTTAGTATTACTTTGACACTTTGTTAACTATTTATATAACTGTTAAATCCAATGAAATACGACTAGCTTTAATAGAGCTGTTAATTATTATTATAAAGTACAGAGCCAGTGTATTTATATCTTAATCATTATTTGTACAGTTAAAATAATACTTATTTATAACTGTGGCAAACATGGTTCAATGTTTGTGAAATTAAATTATTATTACATTACTTCCGAGTTTATTTTCCTTATTTTTCCTATTCCTTAACAATATTATTCATTCGCATTATTAAGTTTTACTAAACTAATTGTTTAAACACAAATGAACATAAAAAATATCATTAATACAATTAATAATTGCACCCTATTATAACCGTGACTAACGACAACCGGTGTATTTTGTATGGAGTTTGACAGATTTTTGACGTTTGTCAAAGTTAAAGTAAGATGGTGCAACCCAGCCTTAGTAAAAATATTTTTTTTTGACACGCAATAATCCTAAACATGAGGATTTATAGGTCCACATTCATAGGTGACATAAAATAGATTTAAAGCTCAAAGCTTTCAATACTTATGTCCCGTAATATTAGCTCGATCAAAATATTTAGCGATGTCCTTTGACATACTGGGCAAAACTTTTTTGTCCAAAACTTGCACAAATCCAAAAGCATTTAGAAATTAAAGCAGCTGTTTAATTACACGAGTAGTAATAATCTATGTAGTTATTATACTCTTATTACTTATTGAGTTCCCAGTGCTATAATGTATATTTCACCTTATTTTACTTTATTCATAATATTGGGTAGGTATAACTAAATTTTTAAAATAAATTATTAACAATTAGATTCAACATCTATAGCCTGACCAGGAACATAAAAACCCTGGCATAGAGGCGCTTCAATTGCATTTGATAGTGCAACACTGAGTACAGTCGTACATGTGTTAAATTAATAGGCTAAATTTATGTATCAGGATTCAGGATTACGGGCTAATTTGATATTTTCATAAATGAACGAAAAATATTATTAAAGGTAACCTGGTTTAAATAAATTAAATGAAACCATCAATCGAGCTAGTAGGATTTATTTTATTATTCATCAATAATCAAATTCAGAACTTGAATATTCAACTGCAATGTCTGCTCATGAACGCTTCAAACTCGGTACTTCTTTCCCAATTCCATAAAATTCAAAACTTAGAAAGTGACAAAAAACTTTAAAATAGGTAGTTGAAACAGACTACAGCTAATTTTCATAGTGGACTGTACTATACGATAAACATGTCAGTCAATTTGACAACCTTTGTCGGAAACATTATTCAATGAAAATATTGTCCGAACCCTTAGTATTTCTCTTCGACAAATACATTAACACACCGTGAACCACTTTTCTTTCACGACTATAAAAATATTTTAGCATATTATTCACAAAATCAATTGCACACATTTAAAATAAAGTTTGTTTACACTTTGACAACTATAGACTGACATGCAAGGTGACATCCCAATGAAGTTTTCAGTTACTGTTGCCATTAAAAGAAATTAGTACCATTAGTTTTCCGCAATATGGCGAGGGTTTTTATGTTCCTGGTCAGGCTTTACAAGTTTCAGTTTATGTGTTCGGTTTTTTATTGTCTGTGGTTTTGAGACTGTTTGGTGATTCGACTGTGGCGTCACATTAGAAAAAAAAAGTTAATTTGATCATTCATTACGAATTATCTTGTGAGTGAAATCATACCCTAAAATCGGAAAGCCATTTAAAATGAACACTTGTGGAGGTATAGAGCACATGAGACTTGTTGGTTCCAAAATCGCCTCTATCATTGAGTACATAAGAGGCCACCGTGTTAAGCTTAACGTGCTATCTGTACAATGCATACCCCACACTGTCCAGCATTCCTTTCATCATCAGTTCCCATGGAGCGGCCTGGAAACAATTTCACATCTTGACACAACATATTCACGACTTGGCGACTGTTTGTATTGGTGACTTGGCGGACAAATTAGAGCGACGGTGTCTGGAAAAAAGTACACACGACAGCACATCATGCTACCCAATTTTGTTGCAAACTCACCCCTATTACAACTGCACAAGAACCCGCAGTGGTTACGTTGACATGCCGTCATCAGTACAACAATGATGCTGCGGGAATATAATCTTTGTGATTATGTGACGAAGCGACGTGTTTGAAGTGCGGCGGCTGGGTGGCAAGAGGTAAGGGTGACAACGATATTTTATGTTGTAGGGACACAACACTTAATATTTTTAATGATTTATCATCGCATCATAAGTTTACAATACAATCTATAGATTTTTTGCATATGCAAATCCTTCGTACCTATAGTAGACAACATTAGAATCTTAGTTTTTGTTGTAATCTATTTTAACTGCATAATATACTTAATATGATGCTACTTAGGTCATAATGAATGATTAATTTGTCGTTCTACCGTACCTAAGTGGGAAGGCCTAGATACAGTTCTAGGTCTATTGAATTGAATTGTATTGAAAAAATTTATTGTCAGACCGGGGTCCATAATCGTGTTAGTAACAATCAGGCGTTTAGTGCCATTTTCCTGTGATGCAGATTACAGCACGCATGCGGATCTCGGTTCTCTAATCTGTGACGTGCGTATGTAATCTCACATTACAGGAAAAAGGCACATAATGCGTAAAAATAATTTTGCATCAAAATTTTCACCATCAACGGATGTCGTTTCTATCACAATAACAATAGATATAAAAAATTAATCGGCCAATAAAATGTCCGCATAGATCCAAAAAGTGCATTGACACTGTTCAGCTACTGATCCCGATCGTGAACTGTCAAACGGTGACCGCTATTGACCCAATCAGTTAGAAGGGCCCGCAATAATGCGTCGTCGGTCTCCTCTAGGTGTTTGGCGAAAGGATTAGTTGATCCAAACTTGGACCCCCCTACATGGTTAGCTAATCGAGTTAGAACCTGGTTAATATTGGTATATAACATGACAGAAGTTTGATATGGTTCATATTATGTAGAAGTATGATATGCATAGTTTCTCTGTTGTGAGGTTTCTGGGTGAATCTTTCTAAACCATATTCAATTTTCATCAGGTGAGATAATGGTTATAAGCTTGCCCGTACAGGTGATAAAACTTTTCAGGGACAATAACGTAGTAAAGGTATTTTTAGCAAAAATATTATACACAAAAAGAAGTTCTATAAATACGAAAACTACAAAGAAAAAGACGCAGAAAATATAATGAATAACCAATCGTTCATCTCAAACCGATTTCAGAACTCGCCGAGTCATAATCGATAGTAACTCAACGAGTCGCGTGACTGCGTAAATCCGTGAAACAATATTTACACATTAGCGGCGGACATCGAGTGACCTACCACATTGTGTCTCGAGTTGGGTCACATTTTTAAAACGAATACAGATTTACTCACATAAATTATATTGGGTTCAGTATGATGATAATTTACATTTAAATAGGGTATTATTATCCTTTTTGTCAAAAAATTATTTTGAGCTTATATTGTAATTAATTGGTCAGTTAATATGTTGCAGAATCAATTGACTCACGCCAAAAATATAAAAAATATAAAGCTAAATTAATTATAGTTACCAGAAAAAGATTTTTTTCTATTAACGAAACAAAAGAAGTAAATCTTGACTAATCTGCAAATCACAAAACGAATCGTAAATTAATATTGTATTTAATTGCATAATGAAACTATGAAAATTATCTGAAGTTTCTTCCCTTACCGACCCCTAAGGGGACGAAATATTTCCACATTCGTTTAACGACCCGCGGCACAATCGCGTTTAGGTCGTACCAGCGCATGCGCTTTATCTGGCTCACGTCCCTTGTTTTATTTATTAGAAAGATTTATTATTTACCACGGGCTCGCACACGATGTCTCACGACGAAAAAACGGGGTTATGTTAATGTGTCTCCGCACGTGACGATTTTTTTTCGATCGCCCCAAAAAATGTAGTTCGCTTCACCACTTCCTTGCGCCCTTTCAGATACTGCTGTTTTGGGCAATTTACTTGTTACAATGTAACTTTAATGTCACGACTGAAAACCATTCTATCATTATTTTTTAAACTCGTATTAATTCTTACGGTCAATATTGGCCACCCTTTGTACCTTAAAAAGTCAGGCCATTAACAAAAGTACTAAAAAAATAACCGCAAAAAGGTTGCAGTCCTGATGTGTACATAATAAACGCAATGAAAATAAAAATTACGCAGCCTTGCCTTGATCCTAGGTCGGAAATACCAGCTAGAATAAATAGACCGATACTTAATGCACTTGACCTGTCGAAACCACAAGTCTGCCCTGACCGACTGGACTGGGAAGACAAAGATGGCCGGACATGTAGTCGTGTTTGCAAGCCCTAGAGCAAACAGCAAAAACATACTTCACAGCTTGTTGCGTCAAAGCAAGCACATTTGCAGAGATTTGGATCTCTTGAGAAAATTCCCTTCAAAGTAATAAATCGATTCTGAAATATTTTTGCTGCTTAAAGTTGTTTGATCAATATTTAACTACAACTGAATTCTGTTGCGTTTTCACAACATAGAACCTACGAGAAGGAGGCTACATGCTGTCGCAAAATATGTATATCTTATGGTGTTTAATGATAGATTCCATTAATTGAAGTTTGCACAGAGAGAGTTTGACGAAAATGTATCATGAAATTATATTAAATTGTATATTTATACATATACTTTCTATCATAGACTGAAATCCACCCTGGAAGTGTCCCGGATAAAAACTAGATTAGCTAGTATTAACTGTGTACAGTGCATGACAAATAATAAATACCAATTAAGAAAAAGTATACGTAGGCTTTTAATAATTCAAGGCGTGAATAAAACCTTACATTTTAAGGTAAGGTTGAAGTAATTAGAACATAGAATAAATGACATTGATGTGTCACCAACAGCATCCTATTACTGCTTATGCGAATGAATAGTGATTCATGCCATTTAGAAAACATTGTGATTTTAATATTACTGACAGGCTTTTGTATAGAAAATCTTCCAAAAACTGAACTGTATTCATATGCATAATGAACAAGGAAAACCCCGCAGCAATAATTATGTATGCGAAATGTGATGTACTATAGACAAATAAATGATTACGCTAATGCAAAACACTTAAGAGATAGCTCACGGTTCTAAATTTAGGTAGCAAAAGGTCGTTA